CCAGGGTGGTATGCCAAGGATTGTGATCGCAATACCATTCTACAAGAAACTGTCCGCAGTATGTTAGATAGCTGGAGGCACAGCGATTAAATCATGAAAAAAAGTTTGTAACCAGATACAAGGAGTTCAGTATGGCAGGACAAAATTACTTTGAATCATCTTGCACAGATTGAATCAGTTGATGTTAGAGTGCAATGTAGTAGACTTTAGATAAATTGCAAATGTATCTAAAGTATGGTGCATTCGAATAAATTTATTTATGATCTCACCCTCAGTTATATACTGATAGTTTTTGTACTAGTGTTCAACCACTTGGGTTGGCCAGGGTAAAAACTCATATTTTCAGTATGAGAAACCTTATGCAGAACACTTTAGCACTCGGATATATTTTCTAGAAATAAATATATCATGTTCTCTGTTACTACACTCAGTCTCGGACCTCGGCTCTCGGCTAGCCGGTGGTCCGTGTCCTATAATTAGAATAATCTGAGAAGAGGTCTCAAATTACTCTTACGTTCTCTCGGGCTGACCCACCTATACGTACATTAATTTGAGAACAAGTCCCAAATTACTCTAGGGCTGACGATGTAAAAGGTTATTAACGTATATAAAAATACGTCTACTTCTGTAGTCTCTCAGTTGAAGAAGTCAGTATATCTGTCTCAAGGTGCATGACGAGGAAAAGTGAGAGGCGAGATTTATTTGCTTCGCTGTTTTGCCTTAAGTCCCGTCATCTTTGGCTTCACAGTACTTTGGGAGTCAGTTGGTGGCAGCGCTTATTAGCGTTAAAAGGCTTATCTCACACAGGAATCCCCCCTATTGCTTTACGAAAACACAGAACCATGCTGAGTTGCGCACAAAGGATGAGCATTTAAATGTGGTGATATGATAAAGTACCCACAAGTAGCGGGTTCGGACTTGTGAGGAGCGGATTCCAAGAAAGACACTAATTCGGGTATAATAGGGTAAAATAGTTCACAATCCAGGTATGTGTCGGAGATCAATGTGAAAACGTTTGATCTTTTCTACTACGCTTAGCAGGCGGTCGCCTCGCATAGTGTTCGGCCATGTTCGGGCAAAAATAAGACTGTATAGTGTATTGGTCAGTTGAGTACATCGTAGTTGGCAGTTAGTGTTACCATGGTTCCCGGGTCAAAGATATGGTATCATCGCTGGGCCAAATTCAGTTTGTGCAGAATATTATTTATAATGCAATATCTGTGAACACAGTGGTCTACTATAGGTCGTCAGCCGTCATCTATGGAAACGGGGTTTGATAGTCGATGCGTCTCCTTCAAACATAGCAGCCTCTTGTTTCGTATCGAGTTTAACTTTGACACGGCGCAACTTTTTGTAATCAGAAAGTGTTAAGGTCACAGCGACAAAGGGCGTTGGTGAACACCTCTGGGATATAGATGAAGTAAGTAATTCTATCTTTCGCCTTCACAGTACGGTTAGTACATAGGGATTGAACCATCCTTTCAGAAATACTGTCGGTGGTTCCCCGTCCTTAGGGACGCGGACAGATAGACCTGTTTCAAGTTCGATGGAGGATGTGTCAACAAAATAAGAAGGGTCTAGAATGACAAGCATGACAACCCCCATTTTGGCCTCGTTATCCGGTGTGGGCAGCATGGCATGCCACGGGACAATGGAAACGGGGGTTTTTCTTATGGGGCAAGGGCCAAGGACATGTATGGTGTATCTCGCGACTGCCAGTCTAAAAAAATAAATTCCCAGAGTGCCATAGCCCCGTCATCCACAAAGCGTTTTAGAGCTTGTAACCACATATAGGTAACTTAACACCAAACGCTCCAGCTGTAGGCCTCCAGACACGTCCCCGAGATCCAATTTAGATAGCCGCGGCTACGTTCAGTGCATTTCAGAACTCACGGCGTATATGGCCCAGGCAATCTTATTTCAAGGCATGGGTCATAAGGGTCGATAATGTTTTCATTGCCTATCTTATAGTTCTGACGATATCTATTATCTTTGATATATATAGGATAGATTGAAGTTCGTCCTGGCTAAGAAAAACAGAAGACACCCAAGGGATGTGGTAGTTCCCTTTCTCTATTCAATATGCCTCGCTTTTCGTCGCGAAGGCAGATCTGTTCCTCCCACTCAACTTATCAAGAGACCCGCTGCTTATATGTTTTAAGCTTGGGGGTAGCATCCGTGCAGGTATGGATGTCTGTTTCAACCTGTCAATACAGTAGTGATTGGACATTTAACATAAAGGTGAGAAAGTTTGTAGAACTATCATATTTTGCCACAATTAAATAATCGCTCCTAGCAGTAAAACTGGGAGTATGCCACATGAACAGGGGATCCCAATGGTCACCAGGAACTGGAATTCTGTTGTTACGAACCAGGTTTTCTGACCTTTGTCTGTATATATCTCTAGTAAGATTGTAGTAGTACTCTGTTCCGTTGGGGATTGAATAAACCAACCCCAACGGTGTTCATCAAGACAGGGTCTATCGCATACATTTGAGATCTTCAGCTACCACGAATCCTTTTTTAATTATGTTGTCGGTGTAACAAAGAACAGTATCACAATAGAGGCAAGAAAGCGTGTTTTGACGATCTGGCCCGCCTTATTTCAGGCTCGATCCTCATCCACTACGCCTAGAGTACTAGTGAAACTGTTGTGGGGGCGGTCACTTATAAAGTGGCCTGGCTCATGTTAGCTTCAGCCCTCATCCTTTTTAAATAAGAGACATACCCGGAATCCAGGGCAGGAGTACGCTGACTGAAAGCCCGGAGTACGAGAGTGTGATCGATGGCTGCTGTCACAGGCTTGGGAACGGATTCGACGTTTCGTGTTCTCTTTAACAGAGGCTGAGACACGAGGTTGGACCAAAGTTAACTCAGATTGGTCCTGGGTTGTCGGGTGAGTATTCGGCTGTAGTCTATGTTTTGACTTGGAGAGTGGTTTCGTTGGGTATTGGTAATGGGTGGATAGTAATTCCAACACTTTCGTGGATGCGACTCTTCGAAATCGGCAACCGCATCGGAAGGCCAACATGGCGATGCAAAGAGTGCGTTCAACATTGTCTAAACAGACATCAGTCAGGTCCGGATCGCGAAGGAGCCTCGGTTAAAGAAGGTTCATATAAAAGGCATCGTTGGCCAGGGAAAGCAAGAAAGCATAAATGGAACGGCAATCTCTGTTGGCGTCCTCCGGTATTAAAGTCATCCTTCGCTATTAAAGTAAGCCAAGATCATGCCATCAGAGATGTAGCCGAGGGTAGTTGGAGGGAGCTTTGTTGAAGCGCATCTCGAGCCTTTTGCATAGGAATCACGAAAGTAGTCAGATGGGGTTCTGGGTACCCAATGGTCACCCAATCCTCAATAGCAACACCCCAGATAAAATTATTATCTTAATCAATCAACTCTCCTCGAGAGTTGTGAGCATCCCGTTGACCAGTTCACGGGTGGTTAAAACGGAAGAGGCCAACAGGCTTCAGAGGACACTGTTGAGAAGAAGTATCATCAAGATATGTCAGGATTACAGTTGGAGTAGCCGGAGGCTTGTGAAGTTGCAGGCGCTACAAGGGTGGCGAAGGAGCGGTTGTAGACTGATTGGCACGCCGCTTCGTGGTGTTTGAAACCGCTTTGAACAAAGCCTTTGCCCCGAGCTCAATTTTCCGACGGACAGGGTACACACCGAGGTGAGCACAGTGGTCTCTAGTCAGGACACTAAAAGCAGAGGGTAGTGGCCACCCTAGCACAAATACCGAGAACTCCTCCAGGAAGTCCGCTCGGTGATACGGTGTTGTTGTTATGGCGACGGAGGCCATGACTCAGCTTTAGTAAGTATGCGAGTTTTGACGCCCTGCTTGAAGAATGAAGAAGAGGCTAGGTACGGCCCTTTAACTTAGCCAACACAATCGAAGGCCTCTTCTGTGGTGTGGTGGGAGGGGCCAGGTGCTGCTCGACCAGGTGCCAGTGGGAATGATCCCACAAAGTTCATCTAGCGGTTGATTAGAGGGGTGTGCCCAGCAGTGAAGTACCACTTTGCTAAAGTGTGGAGTTCTTTGGATTCAATGTGCGCTGTGGTTTGGCGGTACCAGGAAGAGATTGTGCGTTTGTCGTGAAGACGAAGGACCCAAGAGTCCTTGCGGGAATCACCAGTTGAGATAGAAGTGTTGTTCGACGGCAAAACAATATCCTCAGAAGCGATCAAGGTCGCACGAACGACCTTTTGAGTTGTATTATTGTAAAGGTTCATGGTTTGAGACGTAGAGCGGCAGCTGTAAACAGAGCGCTACGTCCTATCGTGTGAAGCTTTAACAGTCAATCTTCGCATCCTAACGTGTGGCGCGTCAAAGTGCCGACATCATTCCTTGGCGCCATTTTAACCGTCGTCCAATCAGTGAACAACCAATAGGCTGCAGGCTCGGAGCACATGACTGAATTCTAGGCTAATCGGTACCAGGCAGGTTTACAAGATCATTGATCAGATGACTATACCTGGATACACTATGCATTAAGGGTTATCGGCCGAATTTTGTTTTGCATACCGGACTCGCAGCTTAATCACGATACACGCAAACTAGTGAAAGGGCAATGTGATATTGTATATGAGAATCAAAATGAAATACTAATTTAAGTACAATGCTATAAGACTACTACTATAATGAAAGTGCAATGCCTGGTAACTCCGTGCTTTTGGATCACCCATCAGTAGCAAGAAGACTAGCAGACGAATTCAACGGCGGCTATTGGGTCATCGATGGGAATGATCCTCATGCGGCAAAAACTCGGCTCTCCGACAGACAACCTTAGAACCCTAAACCCTGCCAGAATATATCGATCGTGTATAAAACGAAATTATTCATATTGCGTTAACGTTAACGGCAATTCGAATGTTTTAGTTCTACAACGGGTGGGCGCAAGAACTACGGACTCAGCCGGATACGAAAGCAGTGAGAATATAAGCACAATTACGCCCACGTAGTGCTCAGTGAACTCGATTGTAGAGCGCATTCGGTGGAGTGCACTTCTTCATTGCACAGTATCATTTTTATTGTACTGACTTTATTTATTGCTTAGTATGCGCGACATGCATACCTATACACATGCACATACAGCCTGTAGCAATGGATGTTGGGCCTTACAGGTTCTTGCCTGGCACGTGTGTGTAGTATATGACATCGATGCCGTGTGTATACAAAATATTTGAGATGGGACTGGGACATTCGTATGGCTCACCAAACAGGAGCACCGATCGCAGCTGGCGGTTGTACACAGGCGCTGCCGCAATTTGAGTGCCCAACGCTAAGCTCTGCACCCGGAATATCAGTGAGTAGGTCAGAAATGCACCCAATGTATGAGAATGGGTGATAAATGCACCCTCTGAGGTGGATCTATGGTAGCGACACCACCGTCGAGTTCCGTGTTTTGCTAACACTGAAATCCTACTGAGATATAACTTTATTCTGCTCTCTCAATTGCGAACATTCTTGCTCATTTTCGTGTGCGTATGCGTTTACATATGTATATGTGGATGTGGATACGTATGCGTGTGTGTATGTATATGAATATGTATATGTATATGTATATGTGGATGTGGATACGTATGCGTGTGTGTATGTATATGAATATGTATATGTATATGTAATGTGCATGTGAATGTGAATTTGTTTATGTATGTGTACGTGTATGAATTTGTGTATTTGTATGTGTATGTATTTTGTTCTCCCTAAAGACCTAAAACAAATACGCCCAACATAGCCAGGAAGAACAAGACAGCAAACAAAATATACAGCCTTTCACCCCTCCCCTGAACTCTAAACCATAAATCTAACCCTAGAACCCATGAACCTAAACCATATATACTAAACCCTAGACCGAACCCATAAACCCATAAACCCTACAAGAGCAAAGATCAACATACCGTCCCTAACGCACTACGGAAGTCCTCCAACGGATAGAAACACAGCAGCTCAGACGGCGAAAGCAGATCGATATCTCCGGGTGGTCCAGGCACTACAAAGTCTTTCCAGTACAGCCCATTCATGCTCTACAAACAAGGTCAGTGTCATCGTTAGTTAGGGCTTATAAAGTGTGTTTAGTGTCATAGTTAGTCAGGGCTTATAAGGCGTGTGAGGAGGTGGTAGTGTGATGTGTTTGTCATAGTTAATTGGGGAAGAGAAGTGGGGTGAAGAGAAGTGAAGTGCATACTCCTAGGCCCCACCAACACCCACCACTCAGCCGCACACCTTTGGGAACGGCTTCTTGACGCTCGGCTCTTTACTCAGTAGTCGACCCACGTAGTTCTCGCGTACATCGAACTCTGGGGTGCCCTCGGCCATCCGAATCTTGATCTGAATGGTGCGTATTGATTGGCTCTGCGAATCGTTGCGCTGGAAGATCTCCATTCTGATTGGTGGTTGGAAGGTAGCGGTAAATCAGCACTTGGAGAGCGAGAACAAATGTAGTGCAGGTAAAGCACTCTAATGTAAGTAAGATTACTAGAGCAATCTAATGTAGGTAAGATTATTAGAGCAACACGTACTGACTAAGCTCACTAAGGCATGAATATGCGGTGGTGGAAGAGACTGAAGTGATATCAGAAATGTATGGGTCTACACACCTGCCTGCCCAATTGTCCGTTGAAGTCCAGAGAATACATCACACTATACCTACATTTCCATATTTGGGATACGCTCATTCGTAACCTCACACACAGCTGCGCATGCAGTCTGATATACGCAATCCATCGCGACTCTCACACGCTTCTCCCAAACGTATCCGTGGGCCTGCACTACAATACATAACCCGCACAGCTGCATCACTTTTGTGGCAAATTGCAACCCAACGCAACCCAATCTAATTGTTATTTTTATACGCGCGTGCGTGTGTAGGAAATCGAACATCTCGAATACTTACACAGAAACAGGAACAGAGCAAGTGGCGGGCACTCTGAAGACAGATGTCGTGCCCATTGGGGTAGAGTGGTCTACGCATATACATAACATATACATACACCCAATAAACGCTACATTGAGGACAAATAACACATGTTATATTGTGAACAAGTATAGTATCTATTCATTGTACTGCGGATACACACACACACACTACGTTACATTAAGAATAGTCAACACACTCTACGTTACATTAAGAATAGTCAACACGCTCTACGTTACATTAAGAATAGGTACCGCTTACATTCATTGCCTTACGTATGCACACAACAAATTGAACCACAGCCCTGCGATTTAGGGTTTAGGGTTTTCACATACCCGAACTTCAAACTCAACGGCACCGCTCGCACCGGTGGGAAGTCGTGGCCCTGTGAAATGGACCGAATGACTGGCGCTATGGGCTGAGGCGTGCCACTGCCACTGCCCACAGTCGACGTGCGGCTGAGGTCATTGGCCGGCGCATCTCCCGCATAGCCAAGTGTGTATGGGTCAACATACGCACCACCTGTACAGACGGGACAGAGCAGGGGGGTAGGGTTTTATGGTTGGGGGGAAGGGGTTACCATGGTGATGGGGAGTGTGTCAGACGCATTGCAGATGGATGTGAAGACAGGCATAGACGTATAGTTGGTTCTGCACCAGCAACTGAGGACTGGACACAATGGTCCTAAAAAACTCCAAGCCCCAAAAACAGACAGACAGGTGCACTCTACGTGCGCGTGCATGTACACTACCTGGGACTCTGGTGCCAATGGACGGGGTCTGCGGTATCTCTGTGGCCATGAACGAGTTTTCTTCTGTCATGGAATCATAATCTGAATCTGAAATGCACAGCAGTCGTTGGGGTTAAAGCAACTGTTAGTAATGAGAAGGAATGCCTAAGAGAATGAACATGTCTACGAGCACAGATAGCAT